ACCAAAACCTGCCACCCAAACCCAGTACAAAATGAAATGAGGCCTAATCGGATTTAACCAAGCTAGTCAGACCAACTAGCCCTACAATCAGAAACAGTCTTCATCCATGACACATTCAAGTAAGCAACTCTCATCCATATCTTATCCAAGGCCTGAGCACACAGAAGTGGTGAAGCTTCACTGACAAGTAGGTGACTTTTGAAACCCTTCCTAAATCAGAGAGGTTAGTAAAAATCACGGTCATCTGCAAAGTCTTACACCAGTAAGTGTTCAGTAGGAGCACATTTCTGTGGTTTGGTCTTCACATAACAAGTTAAATAAAAACATGTTAATATAATCAAGGGCTGCACTTGTGTTCATGAATAAGCAACTTGTCATATTTGCTTGTTGTGTCATATTCAACTTTCAAAAGTACACGTTCAAGGCTGAGGGGTAAAACATTGGTATCATCATCATACTCCATCTGCATCGGTTTGATGTATGCAGCATTATGCCTACTTGGCATACCTAATGAAGACATTTGGGGACCACGGCTCATTTGAGAAGCCACTTGCACACCACTTCCAACACCAATAACAAAAGCTCTGTAGGCTCAGAAAGAATTCATACATTAACTTTTCCAATTTGAGCATTTTAACTTATACATATACTCCCCTTAACAGTAGTGAACCGTGTTTTATCCCATTTTCCATATTAAAGTTTTCTGCTTCTATAAAACTCTCTCAGAATTTTACTACTTTAAGCCATTTAACTACACCTTTCACTAACCTTTGTGGGCTTTCAGATAACCAGCATACTTCAGTTATTTTAGTGAATATGTATCTCTGTATCCTGGGGCTCTATTCACATTAATCTTATCTTTAACAGGTGAATTCAAAGTCAAAAATTTCAGTACAAAAACAAATTAGATGTTTAGGATTCTGTTTCTGGTGTAATTTCCACGCTTTTTGTTTCACAGTCTCTAGAATGTTTCAAATCATAGGCCCACACAGTGTCTATTCCATCTCCAGTAGTATGATCTGGGATCCAGTAAGGGAAAGGAAAACGACAGGCAATGATTCTGGCATTGCATTCAAGTTCTTCTTCTAGCTTCTTCTCCAACTGTGGCATCTGTTGAGCAACAATAAAAAGATTTCAGAAGCAGTGAAACAGAAGCATTCTCTTTAGAATCTAATTCAAGTGTTCAAGAGAAGTCCAAGGTTTGAGGAATTTTTAGAAAAAAATCTAGGAAAGTATTAGCAATATACATTTTGGCTTTGATGAAATGACAAAGAGTATCTAAAACTAGGAAGTGCCCTGACTGGTGAGATCAAGAAAATCATAATCCTAAATTCTAAAAATTCAATCAAAACCCACAGATAATCCCTTAGATTAAAAAAAAAAAAACAAAAAAAAAAAAAAAAAAAAACAAAAAAAAAAACACCCAGAAGATTGCCTTTTTGTAAAAAAAAAAAAAAAAAAAAAAAAAAAAACCACACACGAAAACCACCACCACAAATTAAGAAAAGACTTTGCATGTTCCAATTCATTATTCTCTTCAGCAAGATTCTTTTCTGTAGAGAATGAGAGTTCAGCCCCCTGAATTTATACCACTTATGACAGCCCAAGTCGCATGAACTATTGTGTGATACTCAAAGGCCAATGACTCACAATTTCCAGCCTAACCAAGACAGATCTTGCGACACTCAAAACATCATAGGGCCAATAACCCAAAGCAAACATTCTGTTGTCACTGTATAGTAAAGTACTGGTATGTTAAGTACTATTGAAATTGAGCTTTGCTGGCTCCAGCCTGTTAAAACATGCACGTTAAGTCCCCACAGCTGTACTGTATGAAGCGGCATACAACACTATGCAAGACTCCTTGGCTGAAGACCTACAATCTAGCTTTCCTCCATTTGCAAAACTGAGCAGAGATGAAAGCCAAAGGAAGTATCGCTACTCTTCCAGAGCAGAGCAACACCCTGCCCAGTCAGATTCTCTATCTCCAATAGGTACTTTGCAAATTCTGCTACGGATTAAGTGAGAAATGAATTAACACATCTAGACTTCAGAGGAATTTCTTTCCCACCCCAGATAGTGATTATGTTCTGGAAAAAATGAAACTTGATAGATTTAGCTATTTTTGTCCTTTGGAAAGGCTTCATGTTATGCTTAAGTAGATCAGTGCACATCTATTTGGAATTTCTTTTATTCTTACATACTGTGTCTATCTCAGGGAGTAATTATAACAGCAAGCTCCACAGGTTACTTCTATTACATGTAAAAAACTATTTACTTTGATATCATGACATAACACTTAGATATTAAAAGGTTAAAAAGACAGCAATTATTTACAAATACAGTTCAATTTAAGTCACAAAGGATACAAAATAAATAAAAAGTTAAAAAAATACAGATCATTATTAGAAAACAAGACTGACTAAAGAAAATGTGACTCCAAAGGCTGCAGGTAGTTTACACTATCGCATACATGCAGGGTGTACCTTTGATGTAACATCCTATTACAGCTACATTTAAGCTTAGAATGGAGTATTTTAGGAAAATCATTGTCATAGATCTAATATACCTCAGTTACCTCTGAATATTTAAGCATTCTATGCTCTGATTTATTCCATACAGCAAATGCTTTTAAACATTTTTGCTACTGCATATTAAATAAACTAGAAAAACAAGCCCACTTTGGGATCTTAAATTGAGTTGAGACACCAGAAAAGGAAGGACCAAGTTATTACAGAAATTACAAATATAGACATAGCCTAATTTTAATGAGTAATTATGAAAATTAGTGACAACTCATGTCTATATTAACTCAAATTAGAAAACTTCATTAATAGTTTAGCCAAAAAGAATTGTATCCTTGAACCAAACAGTCAGTTTTTAAGCGCTCTCTCTCAGTAATAGTAGGTGTTACATACTGTATTTTAAATTAAGCTAGGGTTGAGGTTTTTTTGGTATGTCTACATAGATATACAGTTTATTAAATCTTTTGTACAATATATAAATAGTTAAAATACACAGAAGGTGCAAACATGAACACCTGGTAAGAGTTCTGTCATCCCTCCCTGAACAACTAAAAGCCTCTCTGCAGTGACTCAAACACACCTTCCCCCAGACACCTGCATGAACAGAGAGGTCTTAGTCTTCCCTGAAGATCAGTAAATCCAGGTTCTGTAAGATAATCTTGGATATGAAATAAAAGAATTGTGTGACAGCATCAAATTACACCAGTATTATTAAAAAAGCTACATAGATCTATTGCCCTCAGCAAAAGAGACAAAATGCATAAAGGTTCCTAGAAAACCAATTTAGTCATTCAGGAGGCTAAGCATTCACAACTTCCGAAGTAAATTTAAAAAGGATCATGAGCAAACTAATGCTCAGGAAACACAGGACTTCATATGTGTGGATCTTCTACATTTATGACAGTACTTTTACTGGGAGAATTTAGACTAGTATTTACGGCAGGTATTCTGAGCCCTACAGCTACTCTTTCTATCATAGCTGTTACTAATTTATCCCACTTTATACTACTAGATTTAAAGTTAAGCTAGTATTTCTGCTAGGTTTACTCACATTTTCCCAGGGCATTTGTTTATTTCTAGTTTACTGAAATAACTTTTTTCACCTGCACTTTTCCCCCTCAGTGCAATTGGCGAATTTCTAACTGCAAATTCAAATATTTACACTGCCCTCTCCCGGCACTCAAGCTAGAGAGCACATAACACCCAAACCCGGCAACATCTGTAGCACAAGTACGAGTACAGTTCTCACTAGTAAGTCACTCACAAAAGTAGGGGAAAAAATGCATTTTCACTTCAGTTTCCAACATGAGTTACAATCTGAGTCTGAAATGGGTATTTAATTCCAATGCTGTTAAAGAAAAAGCAGAGAATAAGGAAGCTTTATTATGCTTCTTATTACTACTACAGAAATATTATTGGTGTATGTTGTATGGTATAGTATCTCAAAGCTCTTTACTCGTTTCATCCCACATCTGCCTTCGCAGAGGAAGAAGCAATACAGAAGCACTTACAGGATATTTCTGCTTCACTCTTCCATATGCATTCAACCTATATAGAACATTCTAATAATAACTCAAAATATCAAGTATATTTAGATATTTAAGATTTTTTTATCTTTTCTATTAAAAAGAGAAAACTAAATCAATCTGATTTATAAAGTAAATGTAAAGTCTGACTGAATTTATTGAATGTATCACTAAAGCAATCGCTATGCACCTCAATTTCTACAGCAATTTTGAAGAATGAAGCTGAAGAATGCATTTTCCCCAAGGAACACAATGAACATAGGTTACAAAGCCTTCCCAAAAGGCACAGAATTTCTGCACTTATACTCTAGCAATTATACTTGAAGAATTTTTCTCCCTTCCTAAACCCTCACAGTCTAACACATGCAAAGGACTATTTTAGTATATCAGCTGCTGGCCTGTTTGAGGTGATCTGGGTTTTGGAGATGAACAGAAGCAAAGTTCAATGCTCTCCTCTAACAAGGTTCCCAAAAATCAGCGTAGCCAATTTCCTACTCTATCCTTTCCCTGCAAACTCCTCATTTCTTCAGTAGGAAAAACGGAAATTTTCAAGAACCAATCACCTTCCCTTCAAGCAACTTGAGCACAGCAGCTTTCATTTTGTTCTGAACTAATGGACAGAATGTCTCAAAAAAACATGTGTACTTTTAGCGCTCCAGTCTGCATACTGACGTGTGGAAAACAGACTCCACAATCTGGACATTAACAAGCAACAATGAAATATCAAAATATTAGTACTAACTACCTTTGACATTCTGCAGGTTTGTTCATTTTGCAGATGAATGTACTAACACTGAATGCCTTGATATTTAAAATAGTTAAACAATGCAAAAATAGTGAACTTACCATTTGAGGTACCCCAAAAACAACAACATTTGTATAATGGGAAAAAGAAACCTGAAAGAAAATTTGAGAACAAGTCTTAATGAAAATGGTATTTGTATTTGGAGAAGTCCTCACCATTCTTTTCCCCTAATCCCTCTAGGGGATGCTGCACTCCTTTCAACACAGATTTAGATCAAAAACAAGAAAGGAGATCCCCTATCAACATTGCATCACACAAACTTCCACATAAAGACAATTTTATATTGCTCAACAGTAAAAAAATTCTACTGCCTGGCCAAGAATATGGCACCAATTCTAGCAGCACAAGAAGTATCAGTTTAGAAAATACAGAAAAATAGATTTTACTCATGGCTAAGTTTTTCCACAACTCCTGTATATATTAAAATGAGGTATGTTTTAAGTCTGTCCCTATTTTTGTTAAATGTTAGCTAGCTATAAAAACTTCCCAGGCAGTCCAATGCTCAGGTTCTTCCAGTCAATGCCCTGAAGTTTTCCTATGCTCCTCTCTGAGCAAAGATAAAAACAGTACATTCACATTTTCCCCCAAAATTCCTGGTATCCACTTTACAAAATGCCATACAAGACAAAACACCCCACAACTTTTGACAGGAATGGTAGGGGAGTGGCCCACATAAATATGACCCCCCAAAAAAGCATCTCACTACAGAAGCACTCGTGACTCAAATGATGAAAATCGCAAAAAATTCTCAGTCACGTGAATGTAAGTTACCTTAAAGCAACACTCAAAACCAGGTAAAACACCGCACAGCCAGAAAAGAACACACGTCTAATGAAGTGTCAGACAAGATTGTGATCTTGCACATTAGGTGAATAAGTGTCTTGTTACTGACTCCCCAGAATCAGCTCTCAGTGAAGCCTGACATTACAGCATCCCACATCATTCAACAGGCACAAGCATGACACAGTATGCTCGAGGCACCTATACTGAAAAAGGACAGCACTTCACCCAAGCACAAAACCAGCAGAGCAGTGTACTGTGCTGTAAATCTAGTTTCTATGGCCTCACGTAATCTTCTCAAAACCCAATACAGCACCCTGTGGCCAGTCAGCATTATGGTTCTTTCAAGAAAGTATCTCCAAATTATGGAAATCTCTCAAACATCCCAGACTCATTCTCACATACTTCACCACCTACCTTCCATAAGTCTGAAATATAAAATTTGGTGTTGTGGTGTACCCCATCCCTCCAGGCACGGTATCTAGAGTACCAGACTAGCCAGGGATTTAATTCATAACCAACAGCTTTGAATCCCCTTTTTGCAGCTGCTATCACCTACAAGGAAGAAAATACATCTTCACTTAGAAAGTGTATTCATCTAAACAGGAGCACACAGTTTTATTTACAACATAAATCAAAGGAATGCACTCTTCAAAGTCACTCAGGTTTTAATCCCCAACAGATTACAGTTACAGAGAACAAAAACTCAAACTACATTTTACTATTATAACTAGTCTCATTTAAATAGATAGATATATTCAGGCAAACAAAATGAATCGCTTAAACATTCACGGAGGAAAGCTGTAAGCCTGCAGTACATCTATGATTTACATAAAATTTTAATTTAACATAGTCATGACACTACCTTGGAATTAACGAGTACCAAAACTGACCATGGAGAGCATAATGAAATACGCAAGCAGAAATGCTCAAAATTAGAGCATTGCACTTATGAAAAGCAGTGATGGGTAGGCACTTGAGAGACCCCTGAATCAGAGTCAAAATGATGTTATCAACAGAAAGTAGAAGTAATCTGTTGACCTACATTTTAAAAAAAGTAGGTCAAAAAATAAATGTAGGTTAAAAAATTGAAAAAAAAAAAACAAAACAGCACACACAAATCTCACAGTATAGCTTTCATCCAATGCTAAGCTTCATACATTATTTTAAAAGGCAAATGGTAATTCAGATAAACAGGTTTTCAAAGCCACTCCTCTAAATTAGGCCCCAAGATTTAGAACTGTTAAACTGTATAGCAAGTGTCTCCAAACAAGATCCGAGCCTACACATTTTTCAGAAAAAAAAAATTAAGGAAAACACAAAAGGCATCAGTTTCTAGAGTTAAGGTTTAAGTAATAATTTAAAAGGTTACTGCCAAGTTTTTATCAGGAAGAGCCTGATGAGCTGTAAATTACAGAACAGGCAAGGTGAAATCAGGAATAAGTACATATTTCTTGCTAGAACTTCTCAAACAGTGTGAAACACACTATCCAGATAATGCTATTAAAATAATGCATCTTCCATCGGGCACACAGCATTACTAAAATAATCTGACATTTTTACCATGCTTGGAAATAAAAATATGGTCCTATTTATCCACCAATTACACCTGAGTTAATGCTAAATATTTAAAAGCATCTGAACAGAAGCTCAACTTTTTTTCAGGACAGATGCATTAAGGCAACACCAAGCATTTCATCTGAGGCACCTGGCTCTGCAAGTAGTCTTCAGTCTCCATTTAGGCACATACATATAAATATACATATCAAAGTTAAGCATGCAGTATCCAGTCAAATTAGGTGCCTCAGATGAGGGTCAACAGCCAGAACGCTGAGCAGAGGAGGCATCACAAACTGCAGCTCTCTTGTACCTAGACACTTTTCTCCGTTTCCTATTGGGCACAATCCCTTCTAAGTCACCTTCACAGATTTGGATTTCCAAATCAAATTTTTTTAGTATGGACAAATCGCTGACTCATTCACATGAAATACAGACAAAGGTAGCATTCAAGAACTTAAACTTGCTTCCATCAAAAACCCACTTAGTGTGCCATCCTGTTGCTAAAACTGACTTGATACAGATGGCTAGGAAATGGTACACAAAACATCACAACTACAAAAAAAACCCACACCATTCTCCACTATACTCTCACCACCACATTTCACAAACAGGGGTTCAGACAATGTCCTGGAAGCACAGTATCACTTTGGCTTCAGTGATCCTCACCATTTCTTTTGGTAATTATTCCAGTTTTACCACATTCATTTTGAAGCGGGGCAGCCAGCACTGCACAAAGGTGTGAAGGCTACAGTTCTAATACCAGGATTTTTATTTTTGTAATCATTTCTCATTCTCTTTTGTTCTGCTATCACCTTTATGCAATAAGCATAGAGCTGCAGTTCCAAAAGCACAATGCTATTTCATCTCACAGCCTTATGCGTTGTAGCTATAAACCTATGTGGAATCACAGCTCTTTGGGAATAACAATACCAATACTTTGATCACATCTTTTCATGTGAATGCAGTGCAATTCCCTCCAGCCAACAGGATGAGGTTACCATTTTGTACACTACCTTGCCAAGCTGCAGGTAAGACTGGAGCAAAAATATTGATTGCTCACCTAAACTGAATATAAACCTTTCTTAGCTTTGAGCTTTTTCGTAAGACTCAAGCAAAACACATCAGATGCCAAAGACAAGACATTCATAAATCTGACAAAACAACGCAGTCACAGCTAGAGCCATTTAGCACTTCTTTGAGAGGCAACGTAAAAGGAAGGCGATGTCCATAACTTACAATGCGGCCATCCCCACTACCAATGTCAACTAGGGAGCCACTTCTGTTTTCTAACATTTGCAGCACATTCTGGATCTGAGTGGAAGTTGCAGGAACAAAGGGCAGGCACACCCTCCTCAGGGCCGGGGTCACAAAGGGGGTGACCACAGCATAGAGTGCCACCAAGGTCCCACCGACACCAGCAGTGACCAACAGCCCCCACGTCTTCCTTCTGGAGCCGCCCTCACAATCAGCCTGCAGGCCTGCTGGGTGGCTCTCGCTCACTAGCGCCTTGGACATCACACCTGGAAACAGACATTAAGAGAGTATTTTCTCCAATAGCTTTATTATGTGCTCTCTTAAGACTACACAGTGTATTGTATCAAACAGGTAAGACATCAGAAAAAAACTTATACCCCTTTAGCCCATTCCTAGACCCTAGGGAAATGTTACTCTTGCTGCTTTCAAGAAGCTGAAGTAACAGGTTAATTTTTCAAGGGGGAAAAGCAGTTTCCACTGAATCCCGTAGTTCTTCCCACCCGGCCGGACAGCAGCGCGCCCCGCAACAGCTCAAGGGCGCCGCAGAGAGAGAGAGACCTCCCCACCACGGGCCGCTCAGAGGCCGTCCCTGAGCAGTTACTATTCTTCCCTTCAGGGGAAACGTGTCTCCAGAGCGCAGCGCCCGCAGCTACCAAC